ATCGTTGACAAACCTAAAAACAAAAACTACTGAGTTAGAGGTTGCTGTTTTGGGAAAGGCACACGTAAAAAGGCGAGGTTAAAAATGTTTGCGGGCACTAAACTCTCCCCTAACCTGGAACAGTGGTGTAACAGCACAACATAAGAACCTGTTTGACACTTTTGTACCTGTATAACACTTTGAACCCGTTTGTTTTTATGTAATGCGTGTAGAGTCAAACTTGTCTTGTTTTCATTGTTTGTGTTGCACCATCTTAAAATTTAATGTAAAACATGTGTGTTAATAGATACTTAAACCGATGTGTCAATAGCTCCCCGAAAAAACCACACAAGTGACTTCAAGACATCTGAAAGATTTATTTTCCAATACCACAGTCATACTGCACCTAACAAAAATAGCATTAACTGTTGGTTGTTTTGATAATTGAGAATCTTCATTTAAGCTGGAGCACGAATGTGGTGTTAATTAATTCGTTTGATGTGTTCTATGTTTGCAAGAGTGACATCCCTTTGTACTATGTTTCAATTCCAAAAAGTATATTCAAGCAATGCGTTTATTATCTCTCCCTTGAACAGGTTCATAATTTCATCTTTACGTACAGATATTTGATTAAATTTCAAATCATTAAACTTTTAAATTTAATAGATCATAGTATTTATTGTTGGTTTATTTAAAGACATTTATGTATATCTATAATTTTATTTATTTGTTTTTGAAACGTTTAATATTATAATATAGCAATATAAAGAACCTTTCATAATTTTATAAGTATAATTTAGTTACATGTGAAGTTATTTAGTTTGATTAGGTTATCTACTGCGAGAGTACAGATAGTGAATCTGCCTCAAACTAATCACGGAATTGCTTACTTTCAAAGCCGTATTATGGTAATACACTATATAAATAGTAACCTGTCTACTTTTTTCTTGAGGTAAATTGTTTAGGTGAATAACACATGTTTCATTCTGTTGTTAGAATACACTGTTTTAAGTTGTTTTCCGCATCACCTAACCTCGAACAGCATTGATCCTGCTACTTGTAAAAGCATTTCTTGTTTTAATTTAGTATAATTAATCATGTCAGAATTCAAATCAAGCAGATATATGGTCTCAATTTATCTGCATAATTTGATTCCCTAAAGAAAAAAAACATGTATGCTGTGAACCTCTTTTTTAAAAAGGCTATAAATAAAAAAAAAATAAAATAACAAACATACCGAACTCCGAGGAAAATTCAAAACGGAAAGTCCCTAATCAAATAGCAAAGTCAAAAGCTGAAACACATCAAACGAATGGATAACAACTGTCATATTCCTGACTTGGTATCGGCATTTTCTGATGTAGAAAATGGTGAATTCAACCTGCAAACCGAATTATATTATCTCCCTATAATGATAAAACGTTGGGAAAATTAATCAGAGTTTCCTAACATTAATCACACAGAGGAGTTAGCAAACATTTTTTTTCCACAATTTTATTTTAGAGCTTAATAAACGTTAAACAAAATTCCACTAAAAATGAATGTTACTTTATTCAATCATAAGGACTTAGTTAGCAAAATCTACTTATTCTATTTGATAATATGAATTTTTATGAGAATAGATAAACATGCTAATTCATTTGAACTTTGATGGAAACTTGTCTCATTGGCAAGCATACAACATCTCCTTATTTTTATATAGGAACACCAAAAGACTGCACCGAGATTAAGAAATCAAAAGCAACCTCCGGTGTCTACCAAATATTTCCTGAGAAAACAGGAGGAGTAAAAGTTTATTGTGATATGGATACAGACAGTGGAGGATGGACTGTAAGTTTTTATGTATGTTCACGCAATTTCATTAAAAAAAGTTAAAAATTAATGGTTTGTAACTTAAAATCCTTTTGTATGTACTCTCGAGAAATTCTTAAACATAAAATATCCTTTTAGATAAATAAACAAACAAGTGGAAACACGACAAATTAGGACCAGAAGCAGGCATAGTTAATTCTCTTCGGATAACAAAAAAACTAAGCTACAATGGCTTCAGTATATAATAAATCATAGAATTCTGGCAATAAATAGGTTTTTTAAACAAAATAGGGTTAATTCAAAACCCATATTGTACTCTTTGTGTGACTGAATTGGAATCAATTGAACATATACTTTGGGACGGTTATTATGTACAACAATTCATTGAGCAAACTGAAATCTGGTTTCTCCAGAATGCTATTAGTATACCTTTTACACAAGATATTTTTTTGTTTGAAAATTTATCACGAGTGTACAAAGGTGACCCTCAAAATAATATTTTTCTCTGGATTAAACAATATACATATATAATTCAAGATCTTTTAAAGGAGAATTAAGTTTAACAGCATTGATTGAAAAAATAAAGCATCATTATTATTTGGAGAAGAAGAAAGCAATTAAAAATAAAGGTTTTGACAAGTTTAACCAAGCTTGACACATTTACCAGGAGGCTTTACATAATAATATGATGGATTATCAACTACAAAATTAACAGACATAAAACTAAAGTTTTGTTTTGTTTTGTTTTTTTGGTTTAGTTTACTATTTTTGTTTAAAGTCTTTTCTTAATCATCTTTTAATATTATTATTATTATTTTTTTTATTTAATTCTCTATACTTTTTTTGTCCTTTCTAATAAGTTACCTTTATAAAATCCCAACAAAGTGTTATTTTCAAGTTCAAATACTATACATTTTATGAAGAGTTGTATTATATTACATTCATATATATGAACTTCTATTTGATAACTGTAATGTTGTATACTATAAATGCTGCATAAAAAAAAAAAAACAAAAACAAAACAAAATTCTATTCGGATGCATACAATTTATAAAATATAATTTTCAAGCTTTAACACTTGTCAATACCGCTGCTGGTTGACTATTGGTCCCCAAGGGTATCATCAGCTTAGTAGTCATTGCCTCGGTACTGACTTGATTTGCATTATTCATATAAATATATATATATATATAAACACTTAAGTAATGTACTCTTGTTTGTCAGTTTATTTTCGACTTATGATTTTGAATGTCCCTTTAGTATATTTTGTCTGTCTTTTATTAAGAAACTAATGTTCCAACTCCTTCAAGCTAATTTTTTGTCCAATATAAAGTCAAATTATGCCCATCAGGCTATCTATACTAGTAAGCTTTCTTGATACTTAAAATCTTGTTAAATTGTGCTTGTTGTAAACAACAAATACACAACTAACAACAGAACGTGGTAGGTGGCCAAAGAAAGAGATAATTGTTATTACATGTTAATAATAGAATGCATTGCTTTTACCGTGGAACGGTAATTGATAATTGTTATTACATGTTAATAATAGAATGCATTGCTTTTACCGTGGAACGGTAAAACGGGTATGAATAACTTTTGTTTGTGTTTTATTACACGTATTTTATGAATATGATTGATACAGTATGATGAAGCGTAATTTAAATAAAAATGATACTATACATAGCAAAGGAAAATATTTTCGCCATGCCTTTAGATAATGCATGACTTTCAATGCACTTTATAAATTGGAAAAACATATGAAAGATATGCCAGTAAGGATTTGATAAAAAAAAAAACAAAAATATGGGGTATACATCCATGACACAACATCAGTACATGCACAGCAAAAACACAAAAAGCAAAGGAACAGCGCTGTTATTGCTTTTTTTAGTATACTAGTAAACATTCGAAAATTGGGTTCAATTAAGTGTAAACCTATTCGAACCATAAACAAATTAGCCAGAAGAGACAAAACATATACTATGATGATTGTTTGTCAAAAGGTGAAAAGAAAAATTAATTGAACTAGATCTTTCAATAATGCATATTCTACGCTATTGTTTGCACATATATTACATGTTCACAAATAACAATAATCATATGAATGATCTTTGCCTATTACGCAGTTTTTTTATGCTTTTGATTACAATGATATAAATATGAGACACTCTTTATTATAAATAAAAGATGTTCAATCGTTATTAAGCGTTAAACAATTCCTTTAGAACCTGGTCACCCATTAATAGTACACTGATCTAAAAACCTCCAGAAGAGGCAAAACACTATAAGATCTTTCAAATGAAATTCAAGAAATTCTTAACATTCTTGATTTTCTTACAATATTACATTTTGTAAATTGTGGTATTTGGCAAAATATCGAATAAGTGTCACTACGTATTTGAACCAATAGCTTTTGACAGAGAACGAAAGAAATGCATTTGAGTTATAGTTTGACATTCAGATATACTGCATGAAACTTTTAAAAATAATGTAACATTAGAGCAGCGAGAATAAAGAAACTGTGTACATAAAGTTAATGTATAAATGAATGTGTTTGTTCTCCTGGCTTACCTTCTTTGTTATATCAGTGTTGTATTGGGTAATTGTGTCTCGTTCCCCACTGTATGGGTATTTCATTGACTGTCCATGCAATCGTTTTTCTCCAGGTTTATGTAATTTAATTTTCAAAGTTAGAAATTAATGGTTTGTAAACAGAAAATCCTTCTGCGTGTAAAAGAATCTTAGTGGTAATTAAAAGCAGGAAAACAAACAACAGTTATGATTAATTCTTTTCTGATGCATATTATATAAAAAAATGTATTTATAATGTGATTATTGGTCAACAAGGGTGTCATAAGCTCAGTGGTCAGTACCTCGGTACAGATATGATGTTTAACATACACATATATAAATATTTATAAACATAGGTTGCAACTCCAAGTGGACTTACTTTGGATAGATTTGGCTATTAGTTTTTAAGGTCACTCTTGTTCATATAGCTCTTCATGTGTTTTTGTACTTAAAGTGTTCCTAACGACGGTCAATCCAGAAAAGCGCTTCGGACGTATCAAATTTAAAAAGTAATATTTACGTTTTTTATTAATTTACTGTAAGAAATCATTGTAGCTGTGATACAGCACTATTTTAAATCAAATATATAGTTTTAAATAAATATTCTAGTTTCTTATTATGTCATTATATCATTGAAGATTATCCAGAAAAGATATGACAACTCTGTTAACTTCCAGAGAACGTGGACAGAATGCGAAAATGGGTTCGGTAACGTCAATGGAGAATATTGGCTTGGTAAGTATACTTAAAACAAATAACCAAACGAGCATTATAACATTTGATTAAAGCATATGACAAGCTACGTCTACCGATTAGCATGTACTATTCAATAATTTCTTATTTCAATAATCGGATAGATTTATTGTGTTACTTGGTAGAAAAATGTTTTCTTTCATAAGCTAAGCAAATGAACGTCTATAACTGTAATTGTTGTAAAGAACAACTATACACACTGACATTTTCATATATTTATTATTTGTTTGATTTTCTTTCAATTATATCAATATTAATAAAAACCAAACTATAAACTTTCATCCTTTTTGTTCATTATTAACGTCAGACATATACTCAATATATGTTTTTCGTTTTAAGATGAAAATATCTTGAATATTTGTTATACGTCTATATCAAGGCAACACCCATATTCATCGTTTGACGTCCAGTGGTACATATGAGCTGAGAATAGACCTAACTGACAAAAAGAACAAGTATTATGCTAAATATAAGACATTTGTTGTTGGGGATGCATCATCTCAGTACAAGCTGACGATTGGAGGTTATAGTGGAACTGCAGGTAAGATTCTTGTTGTTGAACATGCAACATTTCAGTTCAAGCTGACGATTGGAGGTAATAGCGGAAATGCAGATAAAGCAATTTATGATAGCGATTTAACATCACAGTTCTACCTGACGATTGAATGCTATAGCGGAAATGTAGGTATAATATATGCTGTTTGAGATGAAACATCACAGTGGAAACTGACGATAGGAAGTAATAGAGGACATACAGGTAGACAATTGTTGTTGAAGACGAATCTTCAATGTAAAAGTTTAAGATTCGGGAAAAGAGCTTACATACAGGCATCATCACATTACAGGTTCATGGTTGTTGCAGAAATGCAGGTAAGACATTTGTTACTGAAGTGCAACATCACAATGCAAGCTGAATTTTGGAGGCCGGTCTATATCTTAGTATATGGTATGTTTTTTTTCATTTCTTTCATTGTTGTAACAATACTAAGATTTGTGGCTGTTTAAAGCCTTATGTTTTGATAGTTGTATTTTTATCATAAGGCAAAGCAGAAAGTTGTTTAAGCTGATAAAGTTTCCGGACCCCCCCCCTTCCCCCCCCCCCCCCCCCCCCAAAAAAAAACAGGTGACATTTCGAACGCTTGATTAATGGCTATATCTTTCTTGTTTTTTGGGGGGAGCACCAGTCGAATTATGGCTACAATTACGAAACAGTGCTAGTTCCATTTATGAAATGTATGATATAGAACGAATAATATGCGACATGTCAAAAGTCTCCTTTATGAAAACAATAAATACCTATCTTAATACATGGTTTCGTTTTCGAATAGGTATTGAGAACACTATACTGTATTATATAATATTTTATGCATCCGTTTCCTCCATTTTAGATTATTTTTCGTACTACATTGTAGAAACATTTATACAATATTCATACATGATATGATAAAGATAAACAAGCTTAACAGAACATCAACATCATGTCCTTTACATTATTCTCATTTAACAGTTCTGTTCAAGTTGTTTTAGCTGATAAAGTTTCCTGACCCCCACAAAAACAGGTGAATTTCGAACGCTTGAATAATGGCTATATCTTTCTTGTTTTTTTTAGGGGGAGCACCAGTCGAATTATTGCTACAATTACGAAACAGTGCTAGAATTTTCATTTATGAAATGTATGATATAGAACGAATAATATGCGACATGTCAAAAGTCTCCTTTATGAAAACAATAAATACCTATCTTAATACATGGTTTCGTTTTCGAATGGGTATTGAGAACACTATACTGCATTATATAATATTTTATGCATCCGTTTCCTCCATTTTAGATTATTTTTCATACTACATTGTAGAAACATTTATACAATATTCATACAGGATATGATAAAGATAAACAAGCTTAACAGAACATCAACATTATGTCCTTTACATTATTCTCATTTAACAGTTCTGTTTTCTTTAATGTAAATTTCACTCATATATGTAGCTTCTGGGCCAATTGGTATCGTTAAAGTTCATATATGTTTTAATAGTGGATTCTTGAAATGCAAACTTTTCAATTTAAGGAGATTCGTTGAGCTACCACAACGGAATGAAATTCTCTACTGTTGACAGGGATAATGATTTGAGCAGTAGAGACTGTGCCAAGGGTGAAGGACCATGGTGGTTTCATAGCTGTTCGTCAAGTGCCCTAAATCTACCAAGAGACAAATTGTACTGGCATTATATAAGCGGGCATTACGTTGAGACGTCGGTGATGATGATACGGAAGGTCTAGAAAAATAAAAATCATTTACATGTACATGGTATGACTTATTTTGCTCTGATCTAAAGAAAGATACATGTTTTGCTATGCACACGTTTAATCATCTGATAATTCTGATTATAATGGAGGGGAATGTCGACAAACTGATTGAAAGATTGTTGTTTTTTAAGAAGAAAAAATATATGACGCAAACTATTGAACCAAGATCTCCCTGCATGAATAAAAGTTAACCCTAGATTGAATAAAACAAACAATGCAATACCACAATGATATGTCTATGTATATGGAATCGTGTTTTCAAATCAGAAAAGATTTATTGTCGGATTGTGAGATTTTCTTTGCCCTTCACATTCTTCTGTTGATTTCAATTCGTGTTGTCAAATGATTAAATACACACATTAATAAATAGAATAAGTACTTATGCCGAATGATTTCCGTCAGATAAATAGTTTTATCCAATCAAGCATGGTCTTAATGTTGTTAGTTTCAGGTCAATCTATTCTCATTTTCAAAACATTAGGTTTGTGGTTGCTGATATGATGGTTTCTAGTAATATCGGTACTGATTTTTGCCATGTTCTTTAACTGGTAAAAATAGAAAAATTGACATAAATACGAGTTGGGTGACGTGGAAGAAAAACATTTGGCAATAGTTCTTGTTTCCAACTTTTGTCCAAATAATATGTATACAAATTACAAAACCTTATAATTCAAAAATATCTTATTTGACCTCTAACCTTTATTAAATCAAATTGTTTCCAAAAACAATACTTACCGAAAAAGGATTTAAAGTATTACGATTGACACGTTGGTCTAAGCTAGACTTATACCTCGAATTTGACATAAGCGGTCATCTCAGTACCAGAATCTTTGACAAACAAGACGATTTTAATTTTGAAATTATCAATTTCCCTTACCTTATTAGCAATATACCAACTTCACCTGCATACTGGATATACTTTTCCCACTCATTCGGTACTCAACAGCTTGCACCTGCTACTCAGACTTTGTAAAACGTCACCAGTGTCTGAGCAGAAAGTTGACGAAGAAAGGTTATGTCAAAGAACGTCTCGTCTTTTTTTATAAAAAAGTTCATCGAAAGATAACAAGACCTTGTTTATGAATGTTCCGTATCAACTTCACAAATAATACACGATTGTCAAGAAGTATAGATTACGTTGTTTATCATCTTAATTATGTGTTTTATAAATAGTGTTCTTTTATTTGACTTTGTAAATTATTACTTTTACTGTTTAGTTTATTTTTGGTATTATTCATTAGACGTGGCTTGGTACTTATTCATCCCGTCATTGTCTAATTGTGCTATGGTAACGTTTTGTATTCTTGTCGTTCGTTTTTGCTGATGTGCTTTGTCTATATGCCTTTTGGTTTTTCTATATTGACATATTTGTTTGTTTTTATAGTGATAAAGATTATAACACAATACTGACTGTTGCACCCCCAATTTTGACATTTTTACCTATCATGTCTGTTTGTTTTGTTCACACATTTTTGTCAATATAATTGAATTTTATGCGACTGCATACAAGTGAAAGGTTTAGCTAGCTATAAAACCAGGGTTAATCCACTATTTTCCACATAAGAAAATGCCTGTACCAAGTCAGGAATGTGACAGTTGTTATCCATTCGTTTGATGTGTTTGAGTTTTTGATTTTGTCTTTTTATTAGGGACTTTCCGTTTTGAATTTTCCTCGGAGTTCGGCATTTTTGTTATTTTACTTTTAAAGTATTTATGGAAACATTCATGTAACTAAAAGGAGATGTTGAGTATACAGCTGAAGACTATTTGCTGCATTTTGTTGTGTTTCTAGTTATTTGTGTTTTCGAGTAGTTGCTGTCTCAATAATGTATAATTCATTTACGATCAAATACAAACTTTGCGTACAACGTAAATGGATGATCAGGAAGAAAACATAATGACGAATTTTGTCAAATTCCACAATTGAACAAGCCAAAGAACGTTAATGAATATAAACAGAAAGCAAGCAACACGCTTAAAATTAAGATAAAAGACAGAAACGACCGGGTTTTACAGAAAGCTTTTTAAACACTTGGGAATAAACAATAATGAACATATACTGAACTTAATCCATTGAGTGTGTACTCATTGATATACCTTAATCTGAGAAAAACGATTTATTTATTAATTGTAATTGTCTTTCGCTCGGTTTCAGTGACTGTTGATACTTTGAGTCTTACGTTCTTTTGTTAATTGTCTTTCCTGTGTTGATATGCTGAATCATATCTTCTATCTTTCTATCGATTTTTATTTTTTACTGTTGTTTCTCTTTTGTGCCAATTAAAATCTACCAATTTGACCTGTTCATATAAATAAAACTCATAGACTCATGTTTAATAAAAATAAGAAGATGTGGTATGATTGACAATGAGAAAACTCTCCACAAGAGACCAAATGACACAGAAATTAACAACTACTTCATATTACAATTAAAACCATTTGTTCAGAGAACAATTAAAGGTCTTTCCACATAATTTTTTAAAAGTTATTGATAAGAAATGCTACTTTCATTGCTTAGAAGGTCATTCCCGGTTGACTTTTTTCAAGGTCATATCTCACCTAACAATTTGCAAAAGACCTTATGGTTTTATCATGTACCCATCAGAAGAAATAATCAATTTAACTTAAAATAACTTTTTGCACTAGTTTTTAATATATTACTTTAAAAGTATCAGAGAAAATGCAAAAACAAGCAAAAGAAAGAATTCAAAACATGACCTTGCTTTTTGACCTTGACCTCATAATCTAAGTTAGGACCCAAAAACCTAAAAAAAAAGTCTATAGGTTTATACGGCTGACGATTATGAGTAACAAAAACATAACGACAAATCGATTTGATAAAGGTAGATAACTCCTATAAAAATTCATCAGATCGCTTCGATCAAAATCAGCCAAAAATCCCTGAGGATGTAACGAACAAATATAAAAAAGGATTTTGTCGTTATCTTTTTCGGTTACGGAGGAGATACACTGACAAGAAAAACAGTGTTTGGAAAGATAACTTTTACAATGAAAAAGTGCTCGGCTTAACAAATGAGTTTTAAAAGCGCAATAACTGTTCAATATAATATCCAAAATATCTAAGCGACATCTTGCAAAACAACTTTATACCGCGAGAAAAAGGTTTGGCGGAAGAGGATAAAAAAAATACAAATTAAAAACCAATTGTTCAAAGAACAATTGAAAGTCTTTCCACTTCAATTTTCTAAATAATTGATAAGAAGCTACTTGAGGTTT